CGTGGATTATTTCTTTATTTGGTTTGGTGTGAGAGAGAAAACACCTGTTAAAATGCCAGAAATTTACGATCGTTACGGTTGCAAGTCGAACAGGCTGCAGGATATCAGGCCAGGTCGTCTAATCCAAGCCACGAAGTAGGTCTCACGAGGCCCACGAGATCCAATCGGTGGCGCCCACGCGTCCCCACGCGTTTCCCCACGAGTGGAGAAGGGCGCTCTCACGCTGGCGGCGGCGCCCCCGCATTTCTTCCCATTCCCAGCTGGAGAAATGGCATCTCAATTCTCAGCCAGCATCTCCCGAGCTCGATTCCCAGCATCTCCTGGTTAGATCCCAACTGATGCCGTTGTTGCCAGCACTGTTACTCCCGTTTGGCAGCAAACTAACCGCAGCTTGTCTTTTTACATGCGAGTGCCTCGACGCTTGTTCAATTTCAGTCGAGGAAATGGGTATTACCGTATTACAGTCTGAGCGATACTCTGCCTCTGCTCCAATATACAGTACGTACAAATTAAAGATGAATGGAATAGGTGCACTAGCTCAACTCCACAAAAGACTCAATCATATATACTTGGAACTAAATGGTTCATCTAAAAATTGGAAGCTGAATAATTGCAAAATGCAGCTTATACTGCACCCAAACACAAAATTTCAAAATGCTCAGTTGTGCAGGTGAAACTTGCAAAAATTCCAGGCAGTTCACCAGTGCATTTTTTTTTGACAAGACACCAGTGCATATTCGTTCCCACTCCGCCACACGCCCACTTATATATACGCTTCCCACCCAAACCCATCTTCTTCCATTCCTCACCGCACCAACACCATCCCCCACCTCTTCAACAACCGCCGTGACCTCCCCACCACCACCACAACCACATAATGGAGCTCCTCGGCATGGTGCCCGCGGAGGCCATTGCGCTCCGCCTCTACTCCCTCCCCGCGGCGGCCGCGGCCGCCGGCTCGCTCTGCGCCTGGCTCGTCGCCGCCCTCGCCGCCGCCGTCGGCCTCTGGCGCATCCGCGCCGTCAGCGGCGCTTCCAACTCCAAGCCCAGCGCCACCGGCGTTCGCAGCGTCAGCGCCCTCGTCGACGACGATAATCAGGAGCCACAGGCGCCTCTTCCGCCCTCTCGGGCTGCCATTGTTGACGAGCCGCGGCGGCCGGTCGTCGCTCTCGCTCCGGCCGAGCCGTCGTCCGTAAGCGAGCCGAGCACGCCATCCAAGGTCCGGTTCACTGCGTACTACGGCGGCTCAGGAGACGAAGACGGAGTCGTGGACGGCGTCAGGAAATGCGCGGACGTGGATGCTGATGACGACGACGGCGACCGCGACAGCGACAGCGAGGTTGAGGTGGTTCTCAGAAGGATGGTGTCAGAGCCGACGGGGAGGAGAAGAGCGACGACCTTGGCCACGGCGCCGTGGGATGCAGAGAGGGAGTTGGCGGTGAGGCGGAGGAGTGACCTGGGTTGGTACCGCCACATCGACATGGCAGCTCTTGACGGTAGCGTCGTGAGGCTGTGGGACGGCGACCTGACGGCGTCGCCGAGGGGGAGGGGGAGAAGGGCAGGATTGGAATTGCAACTGTCATTATAGGAGGTAGTGTGGTTATAATGCTTGTATATTCTGATTTATATGTGGGTAGTGTGGGGAGGATACGAAGATTTTGGCCATAAGATTGTCATAAGTTATTGCTAGGGCAAAGGGCTCTTGTGCAATCGTGTACTCGAATCTGGTTGCTCGCTGGTCTCAAAAAGATTAGACGTGCGAGATCACAGTTTAAAGTTTAGCCTCTTTGGTGGGTAACAAACCTTGCTATGTCTAACTTTAACAAAGTGTGGCGTGTTCAGTTGATTACCTGATCTGACCATTTCACACCTACGCTAATAATAGTAATGAAAGCCTGAAGATAAGTTATAGCTATTGTAGAAGTCGAGTTTAGTATAATTCATAGATATACCTGTTAGGTTGATCTCCACCAAGTTGGCCCCGATCCACACCCTGATCGAGGATGCCCAACCAAATCATGGTTGGTGAGCCCCCGTCGCACTGCACTATATAAAGAGGTGGGAGCCGGCAGCTCATGGTATGCGGTTCACCGGTTTTGCTAAAGCATCCCACCGACAAACCCTAACCGATCTAAGGGAGCGCAGCAGCGGCGGGAAGCGCCGCCACCGTCCTCCTCGACTAGCCGTCGCCCGCGCCGCCACTCTCTGGACCTCACCACGCTGCCACCGACCCAGGCTGCACCGATACCGTCGCCATGGCGAGCTCCTCAGCCAAGCCCACCGATGGTCAGCTACCGCTGCACCCCTCGCTCTCTCTCTAGTTCCTTTCTCTAGTTCATGTTCTAGGTCGAATCTAGACTAGTTTATCCTGAATTGAAAAGGAATCACCGGCTAGATCTACTCCTAGACGATCCTAAGTTCTAACAATACCTATCTTGGAATGAATAGAACTATCTAACCAATGGCAGCGCTAAATACTTGTTAAGAGTATATCAATAAATACTTGTTAAACAAATGTGATGTCTGTACTCGCTGAATACCCACTGAATATTCGTCAAATTTAGTGAACCACCGTACCTTGGAGTTTAGATAGTGGCAGACAACATAATCCCTGCTTTTTTTTTCTCTGTTCATTATTAGGTATATTAACATAAAACAATATAAAAGTGTGTAAACCAAATGCAGCATCAGGTATAGGTAAACAACCCTGAATTTGTTTTGAACTTTAGAAGGCAATATTGTCGTAAAGCTTCCATAAACAAGTTGAATCCTACTCGTCAGCTAGTAAAAAGCCTTGCAAAAAGGTCTAACAAAAGTGTTTAGGTGGCTTGAGAATATTTCAATTTTAATTCCATACTGGATGTTAATAACTTTGCTTGATACCCGGAGTTCCGGAAATTTGCAACCGATTTAGCCACTCAGGGATGTTGCCAGCACGCAGCTCGCCATAAGCCACAATAGCATAACTCGCTTTTTTCCAATGGATATGGAAATTCTGCAGTAGTGCTAACTATCAAGTGATAGTGGTCGACAAAGTTCTACTTGTATGGAGCCATGATTGAGTGATTACGTTACGACAGGCTTTGGAACATCCATCAGCATTATTGTGCTAGAAACTGATACATGAGGCGATTTATTTTCAGTGATGTCGATATCTGGACTACGGGGAGTGGCATCACGAGAATGTGCTCGTCATATGCTACATGGTAGTAGGTGAATTGTACTTGATGGCCATTCAAAGTCGGGTTTATTCCGGTGGAGACGGAGGCATCTTTGAGATTGAGAGAATCAGAGGGCAAGACCACACGAGCTCACATCGCGCAGTTGTTCGTTGATTGGGATGGGATCACGTTCACTGCATGATCAGATCAATCCACCGTACGCATCACCAGCTTGTCACAACGCCCAGACTTTGACATTCTGTAACACCCATCATCAAGGACGAAATAAAACCTGGCGCGGAGAACTTCGTTTCCCGAACCTCCTGTTGCGAGCACAGAACGGCAAAATCTTGCAACTGCAGGCCGGGTATCAGATTGGCAGGATCGGAGTTGGTGATGAACTGACAAAATGACGATGTGATGTCCATCGATTCCTCGGTACAGTAGTCCAAGCCCATTATTGTGGTCTCGGGCAGGCAGCCCCGCAGCTCTCATATCTCTGTATCAGAGCATTTGCAATTCTGCAGATTTCTCAGCAGCAAAGAGAGGCGCAGTTCAACAGCGGAGTCGCTCTCACCCCGCGTCGCCCATCCGCCATCGGTGGACAAGTTGAGCTCTTGATGCGGCTCCGCCGCTCCGCCGGTCCGGCATGGAGTCCCGCGCGCTTGACGTCGACGTCTTGCAGAGCAACGTTCGCTCGTTGCTCGGTTGCTCCGCTGGAGCCCGGAGCGACGCCTCGCGTCACGTCGCGATGTCGACGATGCTAGTGTGGCGGTCCAGAGCGTGTGTGGCCCTGCCTGCCTTGGTAATGATGCTGATGATGGGCTTTGAGTCCAGCGGCTTCGGTCTACGGTCCATCTGATCCGGCACAGGCTGAACTCGTCCAAGCGATCCCAGCTGGCCCTTGACTGACGCCAGGCCCAACGCATTGCAAAATTACCTGGAACCCTCGGTGCGAGACCGCGCGCGCGAGCGCCGCACCACGCACGGATTCGCACCAAGGCCACAGGACGAGCACGGGGAGCTTCCAACTTCCACCGCGATGACTTGCCAAACCCATGCCGAAGCGAAACCGTCGGTCGTCGGTGGCCACTGGGCAGTGCACTAGGCACTAGACAAGGCCTGGAATCGGCTCGGCCGCAGAGACGTGGACGCTCACACGCGTCACGGGCGGGGAAGATTCACATGGCAGAGCACGTCTGACGTCTCCTCCTGTCCTCCAACTTGCCTTGCCTTCAGGCTACGGCATGGATCGTTTAACAACTCCTCACATGGGCAACCACCAGCCAAACAGCCTCAGGAACAGTCACGAACACGCCTGAAGAGTGCACGTCCAGACTTCAGAATGGCAGCATGTGGCTCCTCGTATATTCATTGATTCATATGTAACTACTACCTATAGTACTGTACCTAACTATAACTGTGTACACGTATACCATGTCTATCATCAATATATTCGAGTCAACAGCCTCTATCCTGCCCTTTCTCTCTCTTTTCTTTGTCAATCAGCCTGTTCGCTTGTTGGTTTTAGTCAGGGCTTATCAGCCAGCCAACAGTGTTTTTCTCTCACAACAAACCAGCACCAGCCGGACTTATCAGCCTAGAAACCAATCAGCGAACAGGCCGAATATATATTTGAATTGTGCTACGTACTAAACTAACCCTGTGCTTCTGTTCTTTTATGCTATGTACAGTTCCAGATCAGGAGGAGGTCAGCTTGGTTTTGTCTTGCATCTGTGCAAAATTTTCCCCGTCTTCTTTACCGGTACCTAACGCTATCGAGATCAGATCAGACCACATGAGAACGAGCATCAAGTGCCCATTCTCTGTGTCCCAAATTCAGAAGTACTCCTTGTGGAAATGGAAGCGAGTGCCCGTCTTGTGGTTCATCTCGTGCGACAGAGTCTTCAGCTCTTTGGCAAGCGTCGGTGCGCCGCAGTAGAACACACCTGCAGGCATGGTATAGCATCAGAAGCATTCTTGTGGAATTTGAGTAGCATCAGAAGCATTCTTGTGGATTTTGAGGAAATATTTTAGAGTTGGTTGAGCAGATTGTTTACCAACTGTTGAATTCGGATGCTTGGAGGCGATCCTGGTGAAGACTTCCTTCCAATTGGGTCTGGCGAAATGTGTCCTCACCTGCCGAGTGCACATAAAATGCTCAATTTTAATTTATACTTGCAGTGTTCGTTCAAAAATTTATACTTGCAATAACAGAAAGAGGATCTTTGGACATAATCTTGTGCTACTAGTTTCAGAGAATTTGGCATACCCTGGTTCCTGATACGATGTCGACGCCGTGCTTGGCATGGTTCAGAGCCTGCACCATGGACAGCAGAGTTGTCCGCGCATCGCGTTCCTCGTAAACACTTGTGAGGTAATTGTGCAGCTCTATGACACCCTGGTTTCAACGAGTTCAGTGTCAGTATAGAAAATATTGTGGGCATATTGTAAACTGAAGGGGCGATCAGACATCAAGATGGATGGCAATGTGGCATGAAGCAAATTCTACCTTCTTGTCCATTTCTGCAACCTCATTCATCACCCCTTTGAACCATTCAAATGATCCGGCTTCTCGGGTGACCCAGTAAAAATGTGCACGGCTTGTTCTGTATGCTCTCTTCCGGTTGCTGCTAACTGTTGAGACACTAAAGCTGTTGGCGCTGTCTTCAGACCTGCTAGTCTCCATTGCCAAGTCCTAATAATCGCAAAAAAAGAAAAAGGATATGTAAGCTATAAGTGGGAATTCACATATCTGCAGAAAAAGGTTAAAACGAGAACAAATTAAGATAAAGCAGTACCATCAATTCGTCAGCTATCTTAATGTTATTAAGCAGATCCCTTAGAATGCTTATGAATGGTGTTGCCCCGATTCCGAGGCCGACAAGAAGTAGAACATCGTAGTTTCTAAAATCCTGTGCAGGGGCACCATATGGACCATCTACAAGTAATTTTGGCAAGCTGTGGAACAGAAAACGAACACGTTCAGTTTCAGTTCTATTTAGGTATGTAAAGAAGCAGCCATGGGAAAAAGAGATTGATGGACCTTCTTGGTTCTGCCGCACCTAGCTCGCTGAATGAAGCTCTTCTGTTAAGATGTGGTGAGAAGTAGTTGTCCACAAATATGCACTTGAGCTCTTGTGTCCAATCTCCATTTGTTCGGATGTGAACACTGAGGTAGTCATCTCCAGGTGCCGAAGTGATGGAGAAAGGGTGCCTGCAAGCACAAAGCAGCAGCAGGTGACTGCTAAATTAACCGGAAACTAAGAGTAGATCGAGGAGATTCAAATCAAGAGCCATACAAACCATTCAAATGGAGAAATCATTGGACATTGAAGAAATATGTACTGTCCACTTCTGTACCGAAATCCGTAGGGCTTTGACATTGTTATGGTCAATACATTTCCAGGTAGAAGACACACCTGCAGTAATGAAATTTGCATAATAAAATATCCATCGATTGATTTAATTTTGGCAAAAAAAGTTCTGTCATTTCGTCAGAAATCAATACGTTAAATGTATAGTTTCTGTATGCACATGCTTCTTTCTTGATTTGACACTTTGTTATGGTTACTGCAGCACCTAATACTTAGATGATTATTGCATTCAGATCTAATGTATGTTGAAAAAAGAAAGACATAAACACGTCTATCAAACTGCTTAGCATGAGGGAAGTCCTTTAGATGTTAAAACCAGTAATTACACGTATGTATTTGATGTTGTGATTTGGCAGAAGAGCACCCAGTAAAGAATAAAGTAATAAACAATCAACCAAAAGCATGGACCTTCGAGACATGCGAATCATTAGAGAGCGACAGGCAATTTCTGAAGGTCAGAAATGTTCCAGGACCTATATTCTTTTGTGGATGTCCTAGTAGTGGCAGAATGACTAGGCCACAACATTCTCCATTGCTCCTGTCCACATACACATCCCCTTTTTTTGGAAGAAAAAAAATGTGCATCGAAGCTAAAATATTGTATCAAACTACATGGAATCTGAACTTATAATGGATCTCTAATTACTGGATCTGCGCAAGTTGCTGTTCTTCTTTGAGTGCAATTTGTGCAAGTTATCAAGGAACCGTTCTAGTCTCAAATATTAAGTAATCAACATGTGGAGATAGCCAACTAGTAGTGCTAGGGGTACAGATTAAAAAAGATTGACACTTGCAAGCTACATGAATTTGCCATTGCAGTTACCACCAGTAGTACTCACCTTGACAATTTTTACGGTATAAGCATTTGACCTCAAGGCTCTAAGCATCCTTTCACCAACGTAGAACACCAGTGGGACAGAAATGTACATCCATGTCTGAAACCGCCATGAGTTCAGTATTATTAGCGTATTAAAAAATATGTGTTTAAACTCAACATCAGCCTGTGAACAAAGAGCTGCTGAAATGATTAGAGGGCGTGCAAAAGTCATGGCAGGCAAACAGCACCGCTGGAATGCTTGTGAGGAGAAATTACCACATGGCATTGTTCCACAGAAGATGAGATAAACAATACGAACTAAAATAGCAAGGGGAACCACTCAGCTTGGCAGCTGTCAGATTCCCGCGACGCGGCACAGTGTCACTTGAATCGTCTATCCCCATGCATATACTAGTGGACAGTTTCTAGCTCAATAAATATTCAGGGTGCGTTTAGATCCAAATTTTTTTGGATTTTGGCTACTGTAGTACTTTTGTTTGTATTTGGCAATTAGTGTCTAATTATGGACTAATTAGGTTCGAAAGTTTCGTCTCGCGATTTCTCGTCCAACTTTGTAATTAGTTTTTTTTCGTCTACATTTAGTACTCCATGCATATACCGCAAGATTCGATGTGATGGATACTGCGCAAAATTTTTTGACAACTAAACAGGCCCTCAGACTTGTGCTGTAGTCCAGGATAGCTCTAACTACCGGACCGGGCATTGTCCTGGACACTGTAGTGGAGTGTACTTTCTGACATCTGAACCTTCTGGGTTGTGCGATTGCAAATGGCATAGTATATCCAAGCAAATCAAATAAATTGTTTAGAAACTGCAGTTCCTCGAAGGACATGCCTGGTGCAGTGGTGAGAGCTGTCTCACTGAGGCACCAGGTCGTGGGTTCAAAGCCGCCTCTCCGTAGATTTGCGAGGTAAGGCTTGCCTTGGTTTTTCCCTTCCTCAGGCCCTACTCATGTGGGAGCCTCCGGCACTGGGTCTGTTTTTTTTTTAGAAACTACAGTTCCTGCCTTTCTTGAGAGATGCTTGTCAAATTCAGAATAATTGAAATCCAGGGAGAAAACATATACTAATCAACAAGATCCCAAAAGGCATTCTTTTCGGATGACTCAGTAGAGCACTATAGTATACTATATATCTACCATTCTGCCTGATATCAACGTTACCGTCCGCCGAACCTACCGCACCTGCGACCCCAGAACAAACAGAATCCAACGCCTCTAAGCTATAATAACCAATTCCGCCTATGGAAAAGCAATTGCGAATTGCTAGATGCATCAGAGGACCCCCGGCATTTCCCCATGAACGCAAAGGTGGTCCTGACTCCTGACCGGCACCTCTCGCAATCACAAGGTTCCCACTACAGCGCCATGCCAAGGTGAAAAGATAACCAGCGACAGCGAGCAGGGTAAACCCCGTGTCACGCAGGCAATCTAAACTGAACTGCACGGGAAGTTCCACGCATGGTCACACACGGCCGGCAAGTTTGTAGGGGCGAGTGGCGCCTAGCTAGTACAAGGCTACTCTCTCTCTCTCTCTTTCTTTCCGTCTTGAGTTGTTTCTCTTTTGCCTTTCACTAGCACAGTAAGACTAGACTATAGACAGGAGCTTTAATCGGATTCGATCCCAAGACCGAGAATGAGATGCCGTCGGCACCACCCCTCCCTCGTCATCCCGTCCCCATGCCATGGTCCCTTTACAACTCAGGCCTCCTGCGACCTTGCCCCCCAGATGACACCGCGATCGTTGGACAGCATTGTGCTGCCTCCACACTGCCGGCCTACCTGTGGCAAGGGACGGGACCCAAGGCGTTTCCACTTATTAGTAGCATGCATTTGTTAAAGTGCAGGTCACACCATTCATCTGGAGGTTTGTTGAGACGGGGGCGGGCATCACCAAGTCACGCCATGCCAAATTTACACATGCATACAAAACTGTTAAGAGTGTGAGTGACGAGTTCATGGGGCAAATGTGGAAGCGGAGAAAGCAAGCGGTCGGGTCGTCGCGTCGCCTGCTGCCGCCGGCCGGGGGCAGTAGTTGTAGGAGATTCCAAATTTTTGCAATCTGGACACTGTAGCACGTTTCGTTTGTATTTGACAAACTTTGTCCGATTATGGACTAACTAGGCTCAAAAGATTCGTCTCGTAATTTACAACCAAACTGTGTAATTAGTTATTTTTTTTTACTTATATTTAATGCTCCATACATATGTCCAAAAATTAATGTGATAGAGTGAAAAAACTTGAAATTTGGAAGTAATCTAGACAAGGCCCAGCGAACGGCCGTGCATTATACTATGATATGCCGGTGGGCGGTGGCCATGTGGGTTTGGGTCAAAACGAGCCGGTTGCTGCGCCGCTGATCGATATGTCATCTCTACTCCAGTCGCGAATTAAATGTGGGACGAAAGAAAGGGGGAAAAAAGATGCGCCGGCTGGTATACTGCCGCCACCAAGAATAAATGGAGCGCAAAGGAGAAGCTTCCTGCGCATACCTCATCACATCACAGGAAGCTTAAAGGCGAAGGCATGCGATGCGACGACGCCCGTCGCTTGCAGATTCGGGGTGTCGCGTGGTGTGGTGAGTGTGGTAAAAGCGACATGAGTGTAATGTAACAGCCTACAGCCCCTCGTGGGGAAGTGGGGTAAGGCTGCTAGGCTTTAGGATGGATCGGAATGGAAGGATGGATTCATTATCCAGCGATGAATGGATGGATTCGAGTTTGTAGATGTGTAGCAGATGGGGGTTTTATTTCGCGTACTGCGAAAACAGTGCTTCCATCCTGTAAAGCGCAGGGGGGCATTCGTGGCCATTGATACCACTAATAAGGTCCATCTACGTCGATGGTTAGTCTTAGCGCAATCCCCACCTATTTCAGCGCAAAGATCCAAACGAAAGTGCCCTGTAAAGTGGCCTGATCAACAACACTCTAGCCAGATCCACCAACAAGTGTAGGGCCATCATAAACACTCATACGTGTAGGCATACAACCGTACCGGACCTAGTCAAAAGAAAAAGAAAGGAAGCTGAGCTTATATAATTGGCCGTAGTAGTCCTCTGCCGAAAATGATGTAATTGGCCTGGCCTTAATAAAGACACCATGATTTTTAAGAGCCGGCTGGGCAGAGCGGCCACGACCTGGTATGGTAGCCCACTCCTGAGCTGAGCTGACAGGATCCATGCCAAGCATGGGAGCGTGGCCAGAGTTCCTGAACCGCGCAGCGCAGCGCAGTTGTTCGATCCGTCCATGGATCTGCCGATCCCAAGACGCCGAGCACTACGGCGACTGCCACCGCTCCACACGTCACGTCAGTACCGCGCGGTGGCACCCGGCACTGAGCGGTGGTGGAGCACATCACCGCCTGCCCGCGTGCCCCGCGAGTCCGCGACAGCTCACAGCGACGACTGCGGCCGCCACCGCTACTGTATTCGTATCTATCCGACTAGACTATCCTCGTCTGCCCTGTCAACCTCTTTAAGAGCCTAGCCGGACGTAGCCGACCCGGACCGCCGGACGCGTCGTTTCCCTTGACGATCTCGACCGGGGCGGAGGCTCAGAGCAGGTCTGGGCTGGCAAGCATGGCTCCGGCGGCACCGACACCAGCACCCCTCAAGTAGGCATCGACTTACGGCTGTACCCCACGTCCCACGGCCCTCCGCCCTTCACGCACGCGGACGCGCACCTACTACAATCTAGAGTGTCATCGTCACGGTAACAGTAGTTCTCCGAAGCGGTCCATCCTGGATGACCAAAGAGCAGATGATTGACTTTGCTGTGAAACGCAGACATTGCTCACTGAATGTGAATTCCGCCTGTCCTATCGCACCTCTCCTGCCAACTGCCGTGGCTCGTGGAGTCGTGGCACATTTTCCTTTCCTTTTTGGCTTTTTGCCCTTTTTCTTTTCCTCTGGTAATTCAGATTGCCACGAGGCGTCGTTTCTGGAAGAAGGCAACATAAAGCAGCAACAGCGGCAGGGAGCCCCGGCCGCGACAACGGCGTGTCCAAGAAAAGGGTCGCGGTCGTGAACGTGCGCGACGGGCCAAACAGAAAACCGGTCACCCTCCACAAAGCTACGCTACACGTCGCAACCGAGCCACCTCTCGCTCGCCCTGTTCGTTTGTGCTGTTTTGGCTTATAAGCTATGGCTGAAAGTAACGTTGGCTGGTTTGGTGTGAGAGAAAAAAACTGTTCGTTGGCTGATAAGCCAAATACACGACAAAGCGACTATCGTGCAATGAATGCAACAGAGCGCATGATAGATGAAAGATGCACCGAAATAAATCACATCACAGTAGTAGGGTAGGAAAAAAGATCGATGCACATACCGTCTTCTCGTACCACCTCCGGACGAGGAAGAGGAAGTAGCCGTGGACGAGCAGGAGCGCGTACACGATGCCGAGGAGGTGGTGCGAGTACCAGAAGGCGTTGAAGCCGGTGAGCCGGTTCAGCGGCGCCGGAAGCCGCGACGTCACGGCTCCCGCGCCCGCGCCGGCGCCGGTGCCGCCCTGCTTGGGTTCGCCCTTGCGGAACGGGTGCGTGGCCAGCGTGAAGGAGACGGTCATGAGCACCACCATGGCCACGCCCGTGACGCCCTCGGTGCCCGACAGGAGCCCCGCGTACGTGGGCTTGTCCGCGCCGAACGCGCCGGCCACCAGCGAGTACTCCTCCGGGCTCGCCGCGATCACCCGCGGGAAGTCGCACGCCAGGTGGTTCCCCGCGTGCAGCGTGATCCCCACCACGATCGCCGTCGCGATCATCTGACGACGAGAGCAGGAAAAAAACAGTCAGCAACACAGCATATAATTACGGCAGTGAAAAGTGAACGCAGACGCACGTCATGGTCTTTGCTTCGGTCAGGAGTCGTTAACGGACAGACAGTGCCCGGTCCCGTTACCGGACACATAGTGAGCCAAAGTCTCGAGCTACCACATGGGGCCGGAGCAGCCTTGGCCGGCAGCGGCCCCTTCGGACCCCCAACGTGGGCGGTCAATCATTGGACGCCACGTTCCCGCCGCGTACGACATGGCCGCCGCGCCTCGTCCCCGACGGCGACGGCCGAACCAACCACCGACCCCCGGACGGTCGGCCTATTTACCGTAAATGACTAAAACCTTACTCTCAGTCCTCGACCGCTTGAATGTTACCATCATGGGCGACGAATCTACCGTGAGTAGGTGGCTCGCCACGTCGGACTCGACGATATTTTGCGGAAGTGGCTGAGGGCCATCCGGCCATGCGTGCACGGACATGGAGTAGACTGTAGTAAGAGTCGGCTCTTAATTACCTTGTGGAAGGTGATGTTGTCGTCGAAGGGGACGAAGAAGCGGGCCCAGGAGGAGCGCAGCCACGTGAGCGTGTTGCGGCAGACGGGGAGGAGCACGAGCGCCATGTTGAGCTTGAGCGTCTCCGCGGCGCCCTTGGCCGTGGGGAGGCAGTACCCCATCACCTGGAACGCCGCCGTGCGCCGGTACTGCACGAACTTCCACACGAACAGCGCCGCCATGGCCGCGAACCACAGCACCAGCACCCAGGCGCGGCGCCAGTTCTCCTCCGCCGCCACGCGCACCCGCGCCGCCGCCTTCCGCACGCCCCACCTCATCCGGCGACGCTCGCGCGGGTGATCGCCGTCGGCGCCGCGGCCGCCGCCGCCGCCGTCTCCTCCACCTCCGCCTCCTGGTACCGTCAGCGTGCCGCCGCCGACGCCGAGGTTCTGGCTCCACTGAGCTCCGCTGGCCGTGCTCAGCGGGCGGCTGTAGTTCATGTAGGTGTCGCGCTGGAGCAGCAGCGCCTCGAGCTGCCACAGCTGGCGAGGCAGGGAAGTGGCAGCACACGTGTCAGTACGGCGGCAGCACACGTGCTCCAACTCCACTAGTCAAAATGACAGACGGCCAAGAACGCCACCGCCCGCGTCGCGTACCTCAATGTAGCTAAGGTTCTCCGGGTCGAGCTCCTCCATGATGAGCGCCGCGTACTCCTCCGCCTGCTCCTTGAGCTTTGCCAGCTTGTTGGCCGACGCACTGAGCACGATCAGCTGCGGTGGCAGGAGGGAGACGAAGCCAAACAATTCGCTGGATTAGCGGCCGAGCACGTGGATATTTTACCGAAGTAATTAGTAGAAGTAATAATTAATTAAACAAGAGTAGTATGTGTGGGGCACTACACTAGTAGTACTCCACTAGAAGCAGCGGTTTGGTAATCAGAGCAGGGTGCCAACAAGAAGAAGAAGGTTCTAAATTGGGCTGAGTGCCCTGCTCTCTTTTGGGGTGGCAGCTGAGCTAGAAACAGAGATGCATCATGCACAGAGGAGTGAAGAAAGAGGATTAGAAAAGTGTGGTAAAACAGTCACCTCCTGTACTTCCTCCCTCGTTATCCTCCCGTCCACGTTGGTGTCCACCCTGAATTTGGGGCCGAGAACGGCACCAGAAGGAGAAGAAGAAGCTTATCAAGAATCTGCGGGAGGCAAAGCGTGGCGTAGTGCAGGTGCGCACGCATCGGGAGTCGGGACGGATCGATTTCTGACGTTACTTGGGATCCGGGGAAAGAAAGAAGAGAAATGGGGCGCGCGTGAAATTGAAATTTAGCTCAGTACATGTCGAAGAAGATCTGGAGCCGCGCGTCGAAGCTCTGATCGGAGATCTGGAGCCAGAAGTCGTAGAGCTCCTCCTTGGTGATCCGCTCCAGGTTCTGCCGCCGCCGCCGCGCCAGCGCGTCGAAGATGCCCACCGCGAACTCCTTGGAGTCCACCATTCCTGCATCAGTTGGGTGTGGAGACAAGGACGTCGCAATTAGATCGAGCTGCTTTCTCGCATGTGCGGATAACAATGTGAATTGCAGCCAAGCAGCACGACGTACCGATGCATTCGCCGAAGTCGTCGCGGGAGAGCAGCCCTTCGCGGGCGAGGTCGTTGAAGCGCTCCTCGACGCGGCGCCAGAGCTCGGCGGCCTGGACGGAGCCCGTGGTGCGGCTGATGAAGCGGAGGCCCTTGAGCGCGCGCCTGGCGCCGGCGCGGGAGCGGTTGAGCTGCGCCTGCTCCCGCCGCCGCTCGCGCGCGCCGCCATGGCGGCCTCCCGCTGCAGCTCGGCGGGGTGGGGCGGTACGGGGACGGGGAGGGCGACGGCGACCGCAGCCACGCGAACTTCTTCCGTATCCGCGACGAGGTCGACGAGCACCGGCTCAGGCGGCCGGCGCCGCCCTCCGACGGCGCGCGCGGCGCGGCGACGGCGACACCCCGAACCCGCGGGGGCAGCGGCGGCGCTGGGAGGAGGCGGCGCCGTAGAGCGCGGCGCTGGTGGGCGTGACGCTACGCACCACCATGGACTCCTCGTCCAGCTCCAGCATGACCTCCACCAGGTCCCCTGGTCCGCGAGGAATGCCGGCAGCATGCCGCCGCCGCCGGCGCTCCCGGCGGAGGCGGCGGCGAAGAAGAACTCCTCCCCATAGGCGGTAGTGTAGGACTCGTTGTCGGAGGCGTCGGTGGCGGTGGTGGTGGTCTGGTCGTCCGTCAGGTAGTCCGCGATGCGGCAGTGGCCGCTGCGCCGGGCGTTGCTCCCGCGCGACGGCGTCCACATGGCGGCAGCCGCGGCGCGAGAGCTGTCGTCCTCCTCTCCGAGGCGGCACGGCGGTGGTTGCGCCCCGCCACGCCCGTCCCTTTTATTATCTTACCCGTAGTCCCAGTCCGCTCCGCAATGCGTCCGTCAGCCACCTATCCCCGTTCCCGTGGGCAGGCAGCAGCCAGCGGCAGCGGCTGGGCGGTGGGCCGCTGATTCCTTCGCAGGCGCGGCCTCCTCCTCGCGCTTTTTTTTTCGTCTCGTTTGCTTCGCGGTGCGGTGCTCGGCTAGCTGTTGCGTTCTGCGGTTCTGCCGTGCCACGGCGCTCGGCTAGCTTAGCTTTCGGCCGCTCTCGCTGCGTCGCCCCGCTTTATTATCAACGAGTGCGGAAACGAGCAGCGCTTTTGAGAGGCAGGCTGTGGCTGTGGCTGTGGCTGGGCTGGGCTGGCTGGGTGGGTGCGCCACAGTCCTCGGCACGCCCCCAACACGAAAGCTCCATGCACCACGAGTTTGCGGATTGCGGTGCTCGGTTCGGAGGACGTGGGAGACGCGGGCGGTCGGTGGGCTGGCCTGGTGGGGATTTGGAGAACCTCAGACAGACGCTTCCAAACGAGCGAGATGCGGTGGACACTGGACAGTGCGGCGCGGCGCAGTCCTTGTTGCAAAATCATATTGTACGTACCAAAATCCAGCATGACTCACTGTTTATGGTGTGAAGTAGTGCGCTCCAAACACGCAAATGAAGGATCGTTTCTTTTTTTTTTGATAAGACGAAGGATCGTTTCAGAGTGACGGATTATGTTGCGAGTAGTGTGCTTTCGTTTGGCTATTTACTTTGGATAGAAATTTGCTAATGGCCTATTTTAAACTGAACGACATGCGCGCGATTTTTTGTGTAACTCGTGATTTAGATGCACCGGCCGCGGTCCTACCAGTAGCCTGTCCTAAGATATTTTAAACAATTTTTAATGATCCATTTCAAGAAATCGATGATTTCCAGAGATCATCGTCTCTAAAAAGCTGTTTTTAAATGTGAATGGGCACGTGGACCGGTCATAGGGCTGTCCAGTGGACGCCACCCACAAGGGTTTCACACCTTTTTTCTGGAATTTTTCTTTCAAAAATTTTAGGGTACATGCACACGTGCGCGTTCGGTGGTACTGCATGTTTCCCGCGCACTGAAGGCGACGCCTTCCAATCTCTTCTTTGCATGTGTACGGACGCACACATGTGTGTGCGCGTAGCTGTACCTGGTAAAAAAAAGCTATTTTTAAACGCCTCTACACACGTTCTATATAACCGTATCAGTCATCTTATATTTTTAGTGGTTTTATACCTGATAACCTAAACAGAAGGCTTTGCTGCGCCATTGCATGCATATTAATCATATACCTATATAATAGCAACGTGAATTGCCTCAGAAGACCACGTGTGAAAATAGTACTCCTGTAAGACGAAATCAGGAAGGGAGCTTTTATCTGGTTTTTATCAGCCAAAAACCGAAATAATTAGTTCAGCTGTTGAATAATTGGCTTTTAAAAGGTTGAAATGAATTAAAATTGAAAAAGCATGTTAACAGTACCTTTTCTAGCTTTTGGTGTAGCTAGTAGCTAAAAGTTTATTAAAAGCCAATATAAAAAAACCAAGAACCAAAAGTCAAAAGCCAGAAAGTTAGCTTTTAAGTTAAAATTACAATAGCGGCTAAAAAAACAGGCTCTAATATTTGGTTGGAAAACTCTGAATAATGGGTTGACAACGTAGGACAAGAGGAAAAGAACAATCAAATATGAAAGATCCGTGGTGTTGAGAGCACGCTCAACGCACCAGCGTGGCATGTAGCGGATGCCTACTTGGAGGAGAGAGGAGGCGAGATGGTGGCCCTACAGAGCGTCAGTGCTACTTGCAGAGGTGCCAATGGCTTGATCAAAAACAGGTGTGGCTCTAGCAAAAACCAAAGAGAGAAGATCATCATTTCTCTTGATCAAATCCTGAACAGTAAAAAGTAGTATACCTAGTTAACATGCCATTGCTGCTTGCGTTGAGGGATACGTGCCTCAAACTTGTCTTGGTCTACGTGTATCGTGCTTTTTGGATGAGACCACCAGGGCTATTAGCCCCTGTTGCTGCTGTCCCGAAGGGGAAATCTAATTGTGATGTAACCATGCACGGGTGCTGCGTGATGCCATGCGGCAGCATTGGGATTCGCCGAACGAGGTACAGTACAGTGTATACAACTGGCTCCTGAAAGTTTACTTCCGTTCTTGCATAAACTTGGAATAATTACTTCAAAGGATCGACCCGGTTCCTTTGCGGATATTGGGGCGAACTGTGCTCCATCCGACACAGGCAAGAATCCAATTCGATCGGGTGTCCTTGAATGCAGGGAGAAGGAGACTGTCTGACTGGTTGCTTGAGCTAAAAGTTTTAAATGAATAAACAGGCCGGCCGGGTCGTCAACTATCGGAGGCTGCTGGAGATGACACACCATTTGTTTTGTGCTGCACTCCTTAGTTTTTGTTCTGAGAAGGTACGTATATATCATCAAGGCATTTCTTCTAAAATCCTTCGTTTTTGCTACTCACTCATTCGTCAATTCAACAACTGAAAATGCAACAAATATCGAGAATGACATCAACATGTACTCCTTAGCTTGCTACGATATTTGCTCGCTTGCTAATCTTAGTCGTTGGCTCGTTGCTCGGGTTACTGGTGTTAAATCAATTAGGATCTCCAGCAGTAGATCTAGGAGGGATTCCCTTGGATCCGTAATAGCACATGCATATCTAGACCTAGAACAGTACACCGAGAGGGAGATAGGGTAGAGGTGCTGGTGTTGAACCTGAGCCTTCGGATGAAGTCGCGGTTGAGCTGGCCATCGCTGGTTCGTTGATGGAGGCAGCACACGGGCAACGATGGGTGGAGTAGAGGTTGCACGGACGTCGATGCGGTCTGATTTTGACGGAATGGCGTGCTTGATGACGACAGCGAAGTCGGTGAGCTTCCCGTCATTGGTCAGCGCCCTCTTAGATCGGTCTAGGGTTTGTCGGTGGGGTTTGCGGCTCACGGTGAACCTCGTGTCTCGAGCCGCCGGCCCCCACCTCTTTATATAGCGTAGTGCGACGGGGGCCCACCAACCATATAGGATTGGGCGCCCCCGATCAGGACGCGTGACCAAGGCCCAATAGGCCGTTGGGCTTATTGGTTGAGAGATCAATCTAACATTCTCCCCCTTGATCTCACTATTACTTTTATCTTTAAACTTTAAACCTCAATCCTTTTATCCTTACTCATTTCTTCACAGATGATGCATAAAGCATGTTTCATCGTCACGGTCAATCGCCGATAGATTTAACAGCTACAATGCACGTCTCTGATATGAAATAGTTACTTTAACTTTTAGGCCCTTTATAGTATAGGAATCATAGGCTTTCTCTTAAATCCATGCCGGCTACATATTCTCTGAACACGTTGGGTGGTAAGCCTTTTGTAAGCGGATCCGCGAGCATCTTTTCGGTACTTATATGCTCAAGACTTATCATTTGATCCCGGACTTTATCCTTCACAACATAATACTTTATGTCAATGTGTTTGGCAGCACCACTTGACCTATTGTTGTGAGCATATTTTGCCTTCTTTGGATTATTATCATGAGATAACTTCCGAGTGGTCTATTGATGTCGCGTCAACCACCTTCAAACCGAAAGTATGAACTTCTTTAGCAGTTCACTGCCCGTTGCCTCATAACACGCTACAAACTCGGCATACATTGTGGACGATGTAGTGACGGTTTGCTTTGAGCTTTTCCATGAAATAGCTCCCCTGCGAGAGTGAACACATATCCAGACGTGGATTTTCTATTATCTCCCGCATAATCAGAATCTGAATATCCCACTATATGGAGTGAATCAGATCTTCTATACGTCATCATGAGGCCTTTCGTTCCTTGCAAATAACGCAAGACTTTCTTTACCAATTTCCAGTGTTCTATTCCAGGATTGCTCTGGAATCTGCCAAGTAACCCGGTAACAAATGCCAAGTCAGGGCGCGTACACACTTGAGCATATTGCAAGCTTCCGACAGCTGAAGCATATGGAACCACTTTCATTTGATCGATCTCATATTGGTTCCAGGGCATTGAAAATCCCCATATCTCTGCCGCCCTTGACTATAGGAAGCGGTGAGGGACTACATTTGTGCATACTGAATTTCTTTAAGACTTTTTCTATGTATGCCTTTTGTGACAGTCCTAATACCCCTTTACTTCTATCTCGGTGAATCTCGATCCCTAGAACGAACGAAGCTTCACCAAGATCTTTCATATCAAATTTTGAGGACAAAAACTTCTTTGTTTCCAGTAGTAGACTGACATCACTACTAGCAAGTAAGATATCATTCACATACAGGACAAGGAAGATAAACTTCCCATTCTTAAACTTTGCGTAGACACAATTGTCCTCAACATTATCTTTAAACCCAAAATTCTTTATTGTCTGATCAAACTTCAAGTACCACTGTCTTGAAGCTTGTTTTAATCCATAAATGGATTTCTTTAGGCGGCATCCCAAACGTTCTTTTCCTTTCATGACAAAACCTTTCGGTTGTGCCATGTAGACATTTTCCTCTAATTCTCCGTTGAGAAATGCCGTCTTTACATCCATCTGATGTAATTCTAAATCGTAATGTGCCACTAATGCCATTATGATTATGAAGGAATCCTTACATGAGACTGGAGAAAAGGTCTCATTGTAATCAATCCCTTCTCTTTGTGTAAAGCCTTTTGCCACAAGTCGGGCTTTATATCTCTCTATATTCCCTTGAGAGTCAAGTTTTGTTTTGTAGACCCATTTACAGCCTACTGTTTTGGCTCCTTTAGGAATTATCTCCAAATCCCAAACTTTATTTGCATTCATTGATCTCATCTCATCTTCCATGGCTTCAAGCCACTTTGATGAATGATCACTTTTCATGGCTTCCTCAAATGAGGTGGGATCATCCTCAATTTGAAATTCTTTAGTGTTGTA